TATCAGGTGTAGTACTATAGTCTACGAAAACAAACAATGGCGAGATATGGCGAAATGAATACTACTCTGTACAAACCGTTCTATTTTAGTTCAAACAATATTTATCTACAGGACATTCATAAGTGTAAATATCTAGTCTAACGGTAACAAAGGTTCACTGTAAAAGGTCCTGTCCACGTGCTCGTCACTAGCTGGTTATCTGTCTGCCCTGTATGTTATATTTAGGCATGACATACTTCCGGAAAGGACAATAATTGGTATAATGCTGTAGACCTGAGCGATGACTTGAACTAACCTTGATTTGTTTTAAAGATCTAATACTAGTATAAATATATACAGCCTTGAACTTATAGACATTCTTAGGATCCATAAAATCACTAGTTTTGAGAAGGCGAAAAATTAAATAAAGTATTAAAAACTATCAAGCCACGATAACGGTTGGCCTGTTGTGACATAAATAGCCTTATACAAGTTCTACATCCTATATATGTTATATCACTGTATTCATATAAATCATATTTATTCTGAGAATGTTATTGATATAAAAATATTTCCAAAAACGTTAAAAAAAATGATAAACATTATTTGAATGACCACTTAAAACACTATATAACGATTTTATAGTTTTAGTGATAAAACAAAATATTGACAATAAATTTATTTATTTAGTTCACTTATAAAACAACTGTTACGCCGCAATTTTACTCTAAAGGTCGGCCTCCATTGATGCTAGACATTAAATATGTTATACCCTGGCTCGTGTTCATATAGAGTATATCCTGTAATCCTGATGTGCTGTGACTAATGACAATAAATTAGATCTGAAGTAAGGTATGCAAACGGCAGCATATCTGGAAAAAAGTATGTCCGAATATAGTATATCTAATGTACATTCAGAGGGTTCATCAGGGGAACTTATGTTTACACTAACATAACATCTATACTTGTATTTCTATTAAAGGAAAAGGTTAAATATTAAGTTTGTTTTGAACTCAAGCAGTAATTGAACACTCATTTTGCGAGCTTTAGAAAACGTTTTTTCTTTCTTTTGTCAAGCAAAGATTGCAAATGACTAGTGTATAGTTAAAATGCCTATACATGATATCATACTGTGCTATAGGATTCCTATCAAGATATTCGATTTCTATTTCCATTGTTGTCTTAAAGACCAATAGAGTGACAAGTTACATACTAAAGCGTTACTTCCAACCAACAATAAGCACAGGTGTCTACAGGAGGTAAATCAGTATAAATGACCAGTATCATGTTGGTGAAGTTTCCCGAGTATCGCATTTAGTAATGACTATAAACCGCGGGTGTTCAGTCGGGCAGACGTATCTGTATGGTGTCTGACCTTATTTTATTATCATAAAGGGATGTTTATATTTCAAAGACCAGTCCTTGCAAGGCTCGTATCAGGTTTGCCCTGATGATAATTAATTCTGTCCCAACTTATGCGAAACGTAAGTGATATGACAAATTTTACGATAATATCCTCATACATATTTTTTCCCATTGATGGTTCAGTACCCCCTACCGTCCTTTCACACAAAAATCAGTACCATGACATGGGTCACAGAACTTTTACAATCAGATGTGATATGAATAGTTATCGCTCGGTAAAAACAGGGATTTGGGCTTTAGACGACTTCTCAACACCTTATGAAATCAGTAACTCGACCAAACGTTAGGTATATACGCTGATGACGTAGTACCAACATAACCACAAATGCCAAGACACTGCGGATGAAATGGCAGAGTTTCTGTCTTGTTTGCAGCCAAGATATTCATGACCTGTTCTCTCAGTATCAGTAATACACATCTCCTACTTTGTCATACTCTGACCTTCTCTATCTAAACGGGCTTAAAGTGAACTCCCCATTTAATAAACCATCAAGTTGTTTATACCCTGACGATCATTATGATGAAAAACCTTTAGTTCCATTCGAACAATCTTATTATGTTGATGTATGTCAGTTTGCGACTGTTCGTGTCTCTGGACTTGATACAACTTGTGACAGAGGTTTACCTATACCCATGTCCCAAACGTGGCTGTGATCATCATATAATCAAACACTCCATCATACAAAGATAAGTTATATCGGTGTAAATGCAATGTAAAGATAAACCAACCTGGTTTGGTTTGTTTTAACTTTGTTTAACGTCCTATTAACAGCTTAAGTCATTTCAGGACGTGCCTCCATGTGTGTAGTGTATGCGCGCTTGCGTGTGTATATGCATGAGACAGTGTATGTTGGTCTGTTTGCCTCCTCGTGATAGCGCGGATCTGATGCCGACTTTGTAGTGCTATCTCACTGAAATACCATGCCGAAGGCACCCAGCACAGCATCCCGCCCGGTCACATTATACTGACAACGGGTGAATCAGTTGTTGCCGTTCCCCTAAATGCTGAACGTTAAGTAGATAATAAAGTGGTCATCTTGCTGTCCATACCACACTTAATTGTCGTAAACAATATCGTACAAGGTGTTCCGAAATACCACGAAAGTTCCGTATAAAATTTCGTTATTTCAATTTCCTCCAGTCCCTTAGTCTAATGTACATGTAATTAGGAGTTTGGAATTATATGTTGACTTTCTCTCCTGTCTACTCCTTATCTTTGATAATTTCCGTTATCTGATGTCCAACATTACCCAGCGTCAGAATGTGATGGAGTTGGATTTCCCGATTTATTTTGGCCATATGCGATATTTCTAGCGTGGAGGTAGTTAAAATACTCTTGAATGGTTCCTCTGTCGTGAAACCAGTCTTATTGTGACCTTTCAGCTGTAACAGATAAAAAACTAATCATCTCTCCTCCTTTCTCTCTCTTTTGGTTCGAAGGTATATCATTGGCATTGTGTAATGTGATTGGTGAAGTGTGTCCTGATTCCGCTGAACATGCATGTGAATGTGACCCTTTGGTGGTCCCATTACCTGTGAGCACACCATTTGTGTATGTCCTTACCTGTTGCAAGGTCGCAAAACAGTAAAAATCAAACAAAGTATAACCTCCACTATCATGCTGATGACACAAACATCTTTATAGATTATCACATTGTGTTTCAGAGTTTGTAGGGAAAAACAAGTTAATTTTTTCGTTGATAAAATCGAGAGGTCACCACAGGAAGACTTGGGATTTTATCCATGTGCGAGAAATGAAAAAAAATGTCTAGCAACAAATCCTGAAAACACAGTGTAATAAACTGTTTATCACCGTGATACTACCTTATATATTTTATCAATCATAAAAAAAGTTAACTGAACACCATCTACCAACCGACTTCTGTTGGTCGGCGACGTCCTTGATAAGTGTAAATGTAGGCAAATTCAGGTTTAGCTTGTAGGAATAATACCAACTGTAGAAATATTGAGTAACAAACATGTTTAAAACAAAAAATATTTGCTGCTCTTTGTGAATATTAACGCTTTAAAAGTGGTGTTTAATTTTTCCCATGAATATTTATAATTATTTGTTTGTAATTGACTACTTTGTTACGTAGAATACTTTTAAACGATTACTATTTCCAGTTCACGACATCATCTGGCGCAAACAATAGTCTCTTTTGAGAAACACCATATAAAAAAAAAAAAACATTTTCAAGTTTTTCTCAACCTCTTATCAAGTATTCTCATGCTGAAAATCCAGGACAATGGAGCTATCGTGCCACTTGTAGGTGATGTTAAGTATAATATAGACGATAAACGTGCTTATCACCTCACGATATCAAGCGACCGGCATTACCTCCAAACCTTCGGATATCACACTTAGGTAAACGTTGTCTTAACTAGTAGTTTAATATTTTATCACATACCTGTTGAATCTTGTTATAGTAATACAAGCCATTTTCAAATACAACGTTCTTTATTCTGTATGTGCAATACGGAATGTTGTATTTACCTACTAGCCGGAACTACTTTTTATGGGAATCTCCTTTGCCATGGCAAACAGAAAAGTTCCCGGTTTTTGCAAAAAAATAACAAAGTTTATAAAATCTTTGTATCGATATCTACCAGATACCCAAGGTATGTGCTTAAAGCAAGACCACACACTTTTGTTTTTCTAACGAATCGGATAGCACTCATTTATTGCGCGGACGTATGTATTTACTCATGCGCTCCGCGCACTCGTGAACATATTCGTCCGCGCAACAAACTCGTGATTTCTGATTCGTTAGAAATGTACTTCATTTTTCTTTTATTTAACTGCCCAGTTCCCTGACCTAAGATTACCGATTTAAACTCTGGTTTGTCTTGTAATATCTCCTACTCTACTATTCCATTCAATGTTAACTACAGCTCTCAATTATGCAAATTCATCGGCATTTGGAATATTTCTTTGGACACACATCCCTATGCAATAGTTGCATTATCAATATTACAGTTCATTGACGTTGGACATATATATATAGGTGTATATCCTATTCACTCTTTAAGACACCAGACTTAGGACCACGACTATATTGCACTGGCTACCTGACAACTATTTTGCTGAGAAACATTAAAGTTGCGGACAATTAGAAATGATATTTTATTATTCTCACTCTTCCGCTTCCCGGGCCAATGAGGGTCGTTTTGCCTGTTTCGCCACACAGGAGGGAATTCTTGCAAACCGGCACGTTCCATAATTCTTATCACCTATCCAGCGGCAGCCGGTATGACCGCCGCACAAGCATTGGCGCTTCATTAAGCAACAAAAACATAAACAAATGAACGAGAATCGCAAAACATGTAGCTACCGATTAATAATATCATGTTTTCTGATTTTACCATTTGCCGAGGATGTTCAATCAATGTTTATCGCCATGCATTTGAAGAAAAGCACACACATTGGGAAACATTTTGAGATATGATGCACTACTTGAGATTGTGGATCCGAAATTACAGATGATATTACCTGACCACATTAACATACAAACTGTTAGTAGCTAAACATTACATGTCGATATGACATCACATATATATTTGTAATCATATTTACAATATTTATGTCTTTTTAGCGTGTTGCGGAGAAGGCCCCGGGTATGCCACGCCCCTTGAAGCCATGGAGAAGGCTCCCAGGGAGGAGATTGTTTACATTCCCTGTATCGTCCCACCGGAAAGGCGTGGTAAGCAGCCGGATTACCTCGTCACGGTGGACGTCGATCCGAAATCACCCACATACAGCCAGGTAATAACACTGATTACGGGTACATTTTGACCACTACAGGTAATATCAATCAATCAACCACAGGTACTTTTAAAGTGTTTTTCGTTACATTTATATAAAACAGCACTATGCTGGATGTGACTGGGTGGAGTGACATGCTGCCGTATCTAGATGAAGACATTTTTGAGAGACGGCGCTTAGAAGTGTCCAATAAGTATTCCATCACCAATCACACCTGCAAAATCGGGTTTGTGTCGGCCAGGGGACAGAACCCAAAGCCTTCCTTACAGGGGCGAACGCTCAACTGAAGGCCAAAAGTGAGGCATTGCCAAGGGAGACATTAGGAAGAAGAAAGTTGTTTAGAAAGAAAAGATAAGATCCCCAAATAAATCTGCTGTCCCCGTTTCAATATTTTGCATCCTTGTACTTCTCTTTGCTTCTAACTACCATTTGTTTCCTAGCGCCTTGCTTGGTAAAACCTTACTTTTGGCCTTAATGTTAAACGTTCGCCGAGGTGGGTTCTGTCCCCAGTCTTTAACAAGAGTGGTTGGTATTCTCTGCTTGACGTTAAGCATTTATGATGTAAGGCAACAACTGACTCACCCGTTGTCAGTATAATGTTACCAGGCGGAATACCGTAATCACACCAACATACCCTGTCTCCTGCATACACACACACAGGCACGCATTCACTACACACGTACTTAAATGACATAAGCTGTTAAGAGGACGTAAAACAAAATTAAACCGAACCAAACCCAACCGTGCTGGGTGCATACGGCCTAGTATTTCAATGAAGTAGCACTATAATTTTGGCATGAAAACTGCTCTATCGCAAGAAGGCAAATACAGCAACCCTACATTAAGCACACATTCATATTCACGCATACACTACACACTATGCACGGAGGAACGCCCTCCAATGGCCTTAGCTGTTGGTAGGACGTTAAACCCTCAAAACCAAACCAACCCTAAATGGACACCCTGTCTAATACTCTAAACGCTTATCACCAAGCAGGGAATAGCAACTACATGTACAAGGACTTTGCGATGTCTCGGTATGGGGGCAGTACCCATTGCATTCCTCGATAGGAGGAAGGAAGGCTTTGGGAAACAAACAAAGCAGCGCAAAGTAGTAGAGAGAAATTTAAGCTTGGTTTTATATGGCTGTACATCGTATTGATAGCTAAGGTCAATTATGAATGTGAATTAGAGATGAAATAGAAAGACTCCTCTAATGATGCAATAGGTGCAGCATATTTACTTCTGCTTGTGGTTTCCACATTAGCTGCCTCTTACATCATGTATATATACATGTAACAGCTGGTACACTTTTCTTAATCCCTGATCCGCAGGGCTAGAACTAACGCGAAAACTTCCTTTTACCGATTTAGTAACAGGCCAGTAGATAGTTTACCCTTTTCCTTCCTGGGAAGATTTCGTCTCCAAGTGTTTCGGATTCCGGGTACAGTTACGGATTATATAGGTGACATACAGAGAACAGATACAATACACTAGTTACATGTAACGCAAGGATGAAACATTAATTACAGGTAACGTAAGGATAAAACACTAATTACAGGTAACGTAAAGATAAAATACTAATTACAAGGAACGCAATGACAATAATCATAACAGGTAATATAATAATCACAGTTGATACAGAATACAAGTAGTGTGCTACATTTTGTTACAAACTAAAAATTGATATATACAGTTAAAATGTAGGATCTAGGATAGAATTTTGATTAATTTATTCCAGGTAATACATCGTCTTCACCTACCTAATGTGAGCGACGAAGTACATCACACTGGTTGGAACACGTGCTCCAGTTGTCATGGTGACAAAACCCAGCGTCGAGATAAATTGATCCTACCATGTGTCAACAGCGACCGGATATACGTAGTGAACGTCGGTGATGCTTCTCGGGCACCAACGTTGGAAACGGTAAGTGATTAGACATTGGATCATCTTAGCAGATGGCGAAAGGCGGATACTTTGGCGGATTTCTTACTACACTCAGGAACGATGGATTATAAAAAGGGCATGGTTGTAAACAGTGGGTGTGGCTATATACCCAGCATCCTGGATGTATACACAGAGGCGTGTCTGGGTATGGGAGTACGCATATAAACAAAAACATTATTACTGTTTAAAGTTTTATATAGTATTTACGGTAATGTGTATGTTACATAGACCTGACACGTGGTTGCGTGTATAACAAGGTATTGAGTTCTTAAGCCCTAGCTGTATATACATTACAGAGTATTGAGCCCTGGTTGTATATACATTACAGAGTATTGAGCCCTGGTTGTATATACATTACAGAGTATTGGGCCCTGGTTGTATATTACAGAGTAATGAGCCCTGGTTGTATATACATAGCAGAGTATTGAGCCCTGGTTGTAAATACATTACAGAGTATTGGGCCCTGGCTATATATGCATTACAGAGTATTGAGCGCTGGCTGTATATACATTACAGAGTATTGAGCCCTGCTGTATATATTATAGAGTATTGAGCCCCGGTTGTGTATAGATTACAGAGTATTGAACCCTGGCGGTATATATATTTTAAAGTATCGAGCTCTGATGTATATATTAAAGAGTATTGGGACCTAGTTGTGTATTTATTACAGAGTATTGAGGCCTGGGTGTGTATATATTACAGAGTATTGGGACCTGGTTGTGTATTTATTACAGAGTATTGAGGCCTGGTTATGTATATATTACAGAGTATTGGGACCTGGTTGTGTATTTATTACAGAGTATTGAGCCCTGGTTGTTTATATATTACAGAGTATTGAGGCCTGGGTGTGTATATATTACAGAGTACTGAGGCCTGGTTGTATATACATTGCAGAGGATTGAACCCTGGTTGTGTATATATTACAGAGGATTGGGCCCTGGTTGTGTATATATTACAGAGTATTGAACCCTGGTTGTGTATATATTACAGAGTATTGAACCCTGGTTGTATATGTATTCCAGAGTATTGAGCCCTGATGCATATATAGTATAATAGTAATAATAATGCGAGGTTCGTATATACCGCTTTATCACAACCTAGTTCGTAGGTCGACTCAAAGCGGTTCACAAATGATTATCCGTGGTTATAGGGCTTTTGCAAGCAGCCAATATCTTTCTCAACTTCCTGAGGAGCATACAGCTTGAGCTGCCATTTCTAGCACTGCCTAACCACGTACTCACTTACAGCTGAGTAGACTGAAACAAGCGGAGTAAAGTATCTTGCTCAAAGATACAACACCGTGCCGTGACTCGAACCCGCAACCCTTCACTCACGTGCCCAGCGTCCCACCACTAGACTACCGTACATCCTATTTCAGTGTATTGAGCCCTGGTTATTTGTATGTTACAGAGTGTTGAGCCCTTACTGTTTGTACATTGCAGAGTATTGAGCCCTGGGAGTTGCACGATAAATGTGGCCTTGGAGCTCCACACACGTCACATTGTCTGGCCAGTGGAGATATCATGATCAGCTGTATGGGGGACCCGGATGGAAACGGAAAAGGTTGTCATTCGTAGCGATAAGTCACTTGTAAAATTTTCTTGATGCAGTGACTTTAAATTGAAATCATCTGTCTATTTAGAATATCTTCATTTTTTTCTATTTACAAACAAAGTTTCCAAGTGATGTACTGTGCAATGTAACCCTGTTGGATAAATTTGTAGATTGAATTATTAATCTGTCAGGGTAGATGATGGAACAGTTGTACTTTATTGTGTTGCAGGTGGTTTCGTACTTGTGGACGGCAAGACTTTTATCGTCAAGGGTAACTGGGAGAAAGAGAATGTCAAATTTGGATACGACTTCTGGTATCAACCCTACCACAACGTTATGATCAGTTCGGAATGGGGCGCTCCTAAATACTTCCGGAAAGGTTTCGACCCTGCCGATGTCGGTAAAGGTCAGTTTGGTCCTCAAATCAGCTATCACGATAACAATCCTAGGTGACTACGATTTCTGTATACGTGAATTGTCTTTTCGATTGGTTCAAAGCATGCATTTCGTTCTGAATCATTTACTTAGACAGGTCTGTCTATCACGATTTGTTTTGTTGATCCATATTGTGTCCATATAATGTGGTTTACATAAAATTTAAACTACCAAGATTAAGATTTAAGACATATTCGCCTTCCTGTGACACACCAACATATGTCTACGGTGCATCGCGCGTTCATTTCTGTGCAATTGTTTGGTTGATTACAGTTTTGTTATCTGGGGCTCCCTTATACATTTATCTACAATCCTAACCTTCGAAGACCACATCATACGAGACTGTTTCAAAGAAAAAATGCTATTATAAATTTATTTTATAATACGACTGTTACATTGAAAACCTCGAAATCTGATGGTGATGTGTCCACTCTAAGATATATGTTTTCCTTTGTTTACCTCCATCACGCGAACCCAGACGTATGTTAGGTGATACAGTTGTACGTCCCTGTTGGCGCCGAAGCGTTCATAATTAATATCATGACTAAATTATTATTTCATCTTCCTTGACCTTTTTATTCCAGTCGGCCAATTTCATTTTCTGTTTGTTTAAAACGTAATTGAAACGTAATTTCTTTATAGAATATTAATTTAATGTTTTAAATAAAATCCGGTAAAAGCGATGACTACACGATGACCTAAAAGTCTGCATCTACGACATTTTTTCGAGAGAGTTTTGTTCTGCTTCAGATTGGTCAAATTTAAACATTGTCCTGTTTCGTTCAACTTTGGTCTGTAGTTATTTACATTGTATTGCAATGCGACTGCGTTGTATCTTTTATTGGACAAGAGGTCCGTCGTAAACTTTGTTCTGACTGGTCGAAATCAGAAACTGTTCGATCTTGTTCAAACATGGTGTATAGGTTTATTATACCATGACCTCTGTGAACATGCCTTTGATTCGTCGAACGACAGATATTGTCCGATTCTGAATAGATAAGATGGCTGCCGTGCACTGGCTTCCGATTGGTCGAAATAAAGACATAGTCTGATTTTGCTTAAATTGGTATAGATATATATTTTATGGCTTTGCAATCTCTTCCGTATGCATCATTTGTGACTATTAGGGGAGTTTCTGGCACGTGTCCAACTGTTCCCTTTACATTAATAATTTGTAAGAATATCTTGTTACCAAATGTTCGTGTGAAAATGATCTTTCAGGGATTGGGCGGTATTTTCTCGGCATGACGATTCCCTTATATTTGAGATATTTAAGTTGTGTATATTTCTGGAACAGTATAACGTTACCTACTCTGTAACTATATTCTTTCGTTGTGTAAAGCGGAGGGAGAAATGCGAAAAGTGACATTGATCCCTTTGCATTAAAAGACCATTGAATGTAATTTCTTCTCGGGACTAGTGCAGCTGAAATATTTTATAAATATAAATGTTTTTCGAAAACAAATATTCTTTCGAAAACATCTGTCGTTATTGCAAACTAAGAAACAGACCAGAAGAAGAGAAGAATCGCGGGAGGTAAAATACGTTAAATATTTTAATACTCCTAAAGAACAATTCGATAAATCGACAAGAGTCACTGCTTTATTTGCGTTGTGAATCAGTAATGAAGAAATCCTTAACAATACAACCATACGTTTAAGAGGAAGCTGTTGGTAAATTTCTAGCTAACAAACATATCTTTCCAGCCGGGGAGAGAAGGTGAATTCTCCGTTCATTCACCTAGCTTCTGTAGCATACAAGTACATGCATTTATTCTGAGTCAAAAACATCTCCCTAACAACATCTCAATTATCGTTATTATGAGTAATCTGTATCACGTTTAAACCTATTGATATCGTACTTCAGTGGTTTGAAACAATCCCTGTTGTATCCTCTCAGTGCGTGCATTCTCTAATTACGTCTGTTTATTTTTATGCACATCCAACTATTAACAGAAATATCTGATTAGATGTATAACTATGATCTTTAACATTCTTTACTTGCGATGTATTGTGTAAATTCAAAGCGACAAAAATGACTGTCACTGTGTTGCCGGTCGACTGTGTGGTATTATACATTAAACTCTCGCTGAAAAGCCCGGACATTGCGCTAATTTGGTCGTAGCTATTTTTATCACCGGCTTTTCCAAAAGATGAAACTGATCACACTGGACGTTGGCTTAAGGTCATGCCATAATTTACCACGCATATTTTCAGTATCGACTCGATTTTTAGGTTGTCATTTGACAAAGTAGCCCTTTTAAAGTATAAAAAATGTTGACATTTTTGCTTCTTTTATATGTAAATTAAATCAGGTCACTACGGCAACGCACTGAATGTGTGGGATTGGACAACACACGAACTTCAGCAAATAATCGATCTGGGACCGGATGGCAAAATTCCCATGGAGGTCCGTTTCTTACACGACCCACTGGCTACAGAGGGTTACGTCGGCTGTGCTCTTAGCTCTTCCATCTTCAGGTTTTACCGTAAAGAGGTACGTTATTCTGTGTGGAGTTTTTCAGAAAGGTATGTCATGCAATTTATGTCAGATTAAAGACAAGTTATGTATGTTAATAGGTCGAGATGAAATTGGCAACGTTTCATCGGCCTATCCGGAAATAAGATGTTCATTGCCTAATGACTAAATGATGAACTGCTTCATTAGCCGTAGTTCCGATTCATATCTCTAGACTGGGTCTCCTTTATAAGCGGGGATCAGAACAAGTGTGGATGGTTACATAGTTGGTCTACATTAGTCCGAATTCAAAGTGGCATCGTTCTTGAACTCTTTACCAATTAAAAGCTAACAGAGCGGTTGTTTCGAATATAGTATGCTTTAACTTTGCCCCAAGCCAAACTTTGATCGATCCATGTACAACCTTTCTTATTATTAACACGGGCGTTTTTAGCACTCCAACTGTCAAGTCAAGCTATCAGTCATGCAAACGTGGCGTTTTATTTCATTGTTATGTCGATTAATATTTCAAAGAATCTTTCACAAAGTAAAAAAAAAATTGTTCTGTGCTTGCAGGACCGCACGTGGGCCGCCGAGAAGGTCATTCAGGTAGCCCCAAAGAAAGTTCAGGGTTGGGCTCTTCCAGACATGCCAGGTAAGTCTATGCAGTAATTGACATCCATTACCTCATTCACCCCTGAACATTCGTTATGAACTATTCCAACCTTTGAATGGGAAGAGTTCAAATGTGGCTTTAGGGGTGAATGAGTTAATCAGCGTATTGTGATTTTCTGAACTATTAAAGCAAAATATGACGACTCAAAGTAATTCTTCTCTTAGATATTAATATATGTAAAAGATTCATCAATGGTATTTTTTTTAAACAGAAGGCAGTTTGATATGTGTTTGAGTGAGCTATAGTCATCCCAATTTATTTGTCCTTTGTCCGTGAACATTTCTCGTTTGCAATGTATTTTATGGAAGTACAGGGCCGACTTTGCTATATGGTAAGATCCTCTTTCAGACCTTTTTCAAAAATAAATTGTATCAAGTTAAGTATACATCAAACTGTAGATGTTCAGGAGCGGATTTGTCCATATCCATCCAAAAAGATATATGTGATCTACTAGAAGGCAAACATCAGTATAGGTAATGTTGGGAAGACAGTTTATAAATATGTTGTAAAGGTATAGCTACCTCATCCTCCTGTATATGCCATGTAATTATAAATAATTGTATTACACTATGTATGTGAACTTATGGACTGTAAGGCCTGAAGCAATTAAACAATTTTCATACGAGAATCTCCACACGTTAATTAAATCTCTCGGATTATACATTCATTGCAGCAAGAAGCATTTATTAAACTGTGATGTTATTAGAATGCCACTGACTACAAGGAGAACACGCCCTCAGAATATAGACGACATGAGTCCTGGCGTCGCTGTACCCTGCAAACAAATAATTTTTTCTTCAATTTAACCCCGGATATTTCCTGGCTTGTTACTTCTGTCAACATGTTATCAACGGTTGCTCGATTTTGTTTTACTTGAACTATTGTGTAATATTGTGCAATGGCAGAGAAATATTCGACGGAATACCTTTACATGCGTACTGATATATTTATGTTACTGTCAATAAAACGAACACAATATATCAGTTACATATTTTTCCATTTTTAGTGCGGAATACTTTTGTTAAGGAGATATGTTTGGAGGATTTGATATAAGCATGTCAGACACTGACATTTAGTCGGGTTTTTTCGCCTACAGGACTGATCACGGATATCCTGATCTCCCTTGACGACCGGTTCCTCTACTTTAGTAACTGGATCCATGGTGACGTCAGACAATATGACATCACAGACCGACGTCATCCTAAACTTGTCGGACAGGTAAGTGACTCATACAAAACCGAAAACTTTTAGGTGATCACGTGAACAGGAAAACATTATCACGTCTAATTGGTGTCGTGTTCAGATTGGACGCGTGCAGTGTGTGAATGGATAAATATATGTATTCCGATCGTTTTAGCCTAATTTTGATATCTCTATTCGCGCAACAAACCCGATCCAACCTGTAATTGTTCTTTACATGCATACACTACCAACTAACCTCGTCTTGATTTTAAAACTTCACTTGAGGAACAATGCCGGAAAGAACGTCGTCGAGGAGAGAATAATAACGTGTCGTTACCATAGCGTAAAATGGAGATTTTATGTTTGGAGTGCATTCTTAATTCAATTCGTCTTTTTGACAAATGAATAAGACCTCAGGGTTATAGCCAAAAAGGAGTTTTTGCTGCTTCTGTAATACAAAAGCTTGTATTATCACAATGTGAAATACAGGACCCGGTATTAATTCACGAGACATGTAATGAAATTACTCATAGAAGCATATGTGTCCAAATGTCATATTTAACGTATGTTAAAAGAGAGGTTTTTAATGAAAGCCGTTCTTTGTTGATATATTTGTATGTCCATAGAACACTTTCTGTTAAAGCTGTTTCTTGGCGGAAGTATTTGCACAGACGGGCATGTAAAGGTCACCCACGACAGCGAGTTAAAGGTGAGTAAATAGGTTTCATATTACACAAGACGGTGAGTCGAAGGTGAATAAATAGGTTCCATATTACACAAGACGGGTAGTTGAAGGTGAATAAATAGGTTCAATATCACACAAGACAACGGTGAATTCATAGTGTGAAGATCATTTAAATGTCCAGAAGAAATGGTCGTAAGGTAAGCGAGAAGGAATAGTATAATTAAAGCTGACAGAAACAAAGAGATTAGCAAGCGATTTAGTATTTTGATAGACTCGGACATATGAAGTTTATGGATTTTTAGGCAAATATTTGGGTTCAGATCTTAGGGAACACGAGACCTTACAATGATCATAATAGAGGAGGTCAGATTCCTTAAAACTTAAATAATGTGAATAGAGTACAACCTTCTATCAATCTATCGGATTATGATTAAAATGAATTATCAGATCGCTTTAATGGAAAGGATGTTTGAGCTAACCTTCCTACTCTTACATGTAAAGTAAAAAATAGAAAATATGGCAATTAAGGGAAAAAAATCTAAAAAAAGAAAAAAATAGTTTTCAAAAAGACTAAATAACTAGTATCCCCCTTTTCCAAAAGAAAAGAAGCAGGCGTGATTCTTTTATGCTTCGGTATAAGGCTTCACTATTTCTTTCCCTTATCTTGGGGGCTAACATTCCAATACAACAGTTCAAATAGGCCACGGTCGGTTGTGTACACAAGATCCACTTGTTCGATGTCACAGAAGTAAGAATGCGTCACTGGTATCAATCTGTTTTGTTGATCCCAATTCAAGGGACTCACACATACTGTTTAGATAAACCCCGTGAAATATACAAAAACCGTCCTCAGGAATATGCTCATGTTACAGAAATGTATACTCATAAAATGTACAAATATCATTAAATAACAGACTAAGTTTACTATAAAAGGCACTCTCAAGTAATTACCTTCACCGACTCAAATTTCTAGGGTCTGTTATACGACATCCAAGATTTCAAAAGTATTTCTAGTATGTACATTTACATCTTACTGTATTTCTGACTGTCTTCGCGGTTCAAAGATTGTAAAAGAGGATTTTTTATGAACCTATCACTAACGCACGATATTTTGCGCCTGTCGCAACTGGACACGTATCCAAAGCAATTCAAATATCCACAAAACACTATTTTGCAAAGGTACCACACCATATATATTTAAGCATTAAGTAGCGCGCATTATGGTTTGTTTGTGTGCAAAGCTGTGTCCTTGCAATTAGATCATCATAAATGCCATAAAAAAACCCACTTCAATGATTATATCTATGTTTTCTCCGCCTTTTACCTTTTTTAACTTACAAAATATATTTAATATGAAAAATTACCGCCTTATCGTAAGTTTGCAGACATTTGTTCAATAACTGGAACAGCGTAATGTCGTGTGCTGATTGGCTTCACGAATTGTGTTTCGTTGTGCATGTCAATTAAAGTCCCATCAACGACACAGCTTTCAAGAAGGATATCTAGTGGCAATGCCATGCAAATGTAAATATACGGACATATACGTCGAAGTACGGACAGTTACTGATACTCATCAGGCAGAACGCAGACAATAGACCCTTTCTATTCACAGCAGGCCATATCAATAGTGACCATATCAATGGGAGATAACACATCCTTGTGGCACCCTATACTCCGTTTCATAACCAACTAGAAACTGATATTTTTAGAATAAAACTGCTTTCGAGCAGATGGATGGTACTTATTCTTTGTCGAGCATATTTCAATAATTAGAGACTTAGGATTTAGTTTAGACAATTACTGAAAACATTTTGAACTAAAATTCAATCACCTATACATAGTTTGATAGACATCAACCAACGGGAATGATTTCTAATTTTATTAAACTAAATTTTTATTAAACGTCACGCTACCAGCATTAGTACGCTACCCTAGTTGGAATAGTACTTTTAAATTAAATTTGTGTAATATCCTCTGATGGTATAACAATAGATATATTTATATCAGCATTTCCAACAAATAGTTTACAGCAATATTTCAAATGTACACGATGACTTCAAAGTAAACCTGTCAGAAAACCCGAAAAAAAAAACGACATACGTCGACGAAATTTTGCATGCATGTTTAAGTGTTGATTTCTGGTCCTTATAACCGGAAAATTTAAAAGTGTATACGTAAAATTGTAGTTAAGTTAAGTGTGGTATTTATAAAAAAAAAACACCAATATATTTTGTTGCAATCGGTTCATCATTTAGTAGAATTACAAACAAGTCTCAGAGCCTGTGATATTATGGTGTACCAATTTGGGTACAAATCATTGACGAAAAAAGGACGAAATATCATAGCGAATTTGAAGTGATATTTTTTAAAACAAATAACGTTTCCTGAAAATAAATTACCAATGTTGTCTTTGTCAAGAATTGAGAAACACTCCGGTTCCAAGATCTGGATTTTAAAATAACAGTGGAAAACCGTCAACATTGTACCAATTGTGGTAGCGTGACGTAATACAATATACACAATGAGGCAAGGAATTGTCTGAGTCCATCATGTATCCTATTTAATCCTAAGTACTATTAAAGAATTTCCTTGGGTGTTTTTTTTCTAGGCACAACCGGCGCCAGCGTTCATCAAGGGTAAACGGATACTGGGTGGACCACAGATGATCCAGCTCAGCCTGGACGGTAAACGTCTATACCTGACTACGTCATTGTTCTCATCCTGGGACAAAACGTTCTACCCGGAACTCCTCAGGTATTGCTTCTCTCTCCGTAGGGTTGTATTTCTAAGGTAACAATAATTCTAACTCAGTTCTACCCGGAACACACTTGTATCGTCATCCTTTCAGTAGCACCAGGACAAGCAGTCCTACCGTACTCCTAAGGCAATACGTGTAGAGTTAACTTCAATGTACAATGTGCATTTACCTTGTCGGCTAGGCGGCTTTGTTTATGGTGACCCCCTTGATCTGACCTGGATTATCGGCACTTACTTCCTTGGGTTCAATGGCAATACAACAATCAGGACAAATACTGTCGGCTGTGTCTGTGTCAATACTGTCACCAGGAATACATCTGTACAGTTAAGGATCCCTGTACCATCTCCAAAACCTGAACTGTGCATTGAACTGTTTTAAGACATGACTAAAATTCTAATAAACCATCAGGAAACCGGACGTTGTGTGAAACTTTGATGAAAATATAATAATAAAGATTAAAACAAAACAGAATTAATTAAGCGGGATCAGACCAACTCTGGACCTCCGATCATTATAATGTCGCTCTAGCAAACTACAATGTAAGTTACCTGGTCAATGGTTATATGATGTCTCAGTCACGATGCAGTTGGAGACACGGTAGTCTAGTGGTAGGACCCGAAGGATTGCGAGTTCGCGTCACGAGCCAGAAACTTGACTCCGATTTTTCCAGTCTACTCAGATCTAAATGAGTACGTGGTTGGGCAGTGCTGGAATATTTGAATGCTAGCTATGGGCGCCGAAATGACAACACTGTATGCTCCCAAGGAAGTTGAAAAATATATTGGCTAGTTGCAAAGACCCTATAACCACAGATAATCATTTGTGAACCGCTTTGAGACAACCTACAAACTAGGTTGTGATAAAGCGGTTTATAAGAACCTCGAAATATTATCATTATTTTATCTTAAACGAATTTTAGGAGAAATAAAAATAGAGTGGGATTATCTAGTTATTTGCTCTCAGTAAGACAGGGATACTTACTATGGCTGATACAGGCAGTAAAAGCAATGTATGCTCCAGTTTATATATAAAAATCAGTCGTATCGCTACTACATCTTTTCTGATTAAAGGTACTGCATACTTCTAGTTTGTGTCATACCACAGATCCCTCCACTCCTCAGTGTATGTCACACTACAAACATATAGCTCACTATCCCATGTGAATGTCCTAGTAATAGGCCCGAATTCATGAAACCGTTCTCATGCTCAAACATGGATTTTGTGCTCAAGCCCAATTTCGTGCTCTGGTTATAAATTGATAACACATCTTATTTTCTTAACGATTTTGAAGATATTTGAAGACAATTCGAGCCGAACTCTGTTTGTAATGTCTACATTTGACTATTGAGTGGGTTGGTTTGCTTTGAGCCGGTTGCAAGATTACTGGTTTGGGCACAAAAACTATGCTCGAGCATAAGAACGGTTTCATGAATACGGGCGAAGGGCTAACCTAAGCTTGTGTCATACTACATGTCTCACTACCCCCAGTGTGTGTCATGCTACATATCTCACTACCTCAAGTGTGTGTCATACTTCATAGTTCAGGCCACAGTGTGTCATACTTCATAGCTTACTACATCCAGTTTGTGTCATATACTACATGTACATATCTCACCACCATGTTATGTGTCAGACTACATATATCATTACCCCCAGTGTGTGTCATACTACATATCTCTCTACCCTCAATTTGTGTCATACTACCTATCGCTCTACCCCCAGTGTGTGTCATACTACATATCTCACTACCCCCAGTATGTCATACATTAGATATCACTACCACCATCGTGTGTCATACATTTAATTCATATCTCACTACCCCCCATGTGTGTCATACTACATATCTCATTACCCGCAGTGTGTGTCATACTACATATTTCTCTACCCTCAATTTGTGTCATACTACATATCTCACTACCCCCAGTTTGGGTTTCCATTCGATATATTCTTTTCTCCGTTTTATTACAGAAACGGTGCCATGATGCTAGCCATCGACGTTGATACGAGGAAGGGTGGACTCAAACTTAATCCTAACTTCTTAGTAGACTTCGGAAAGGAACCGGACGGCCCAGTGCTAGCCCATGAGATTAGATATCCCGGAGGAGACTGCACTTCCGATATATGGCTTGCCTCTACTGCCCGCAAACCAAAACTATAATTGTACTGACAAAGTTCAGTGCACATGTCAAACATTTTAACAATGTATACATATAACTACAATGTTTTGACGTGATAAACATTTTGTTTCTGCTATGCGACAAACAAATCGCATGGGTAGGCCTGGTGATATTTTCGGTTGGGACATTGTTACCAAACCCAAGGCATTCACGGAACAGCACGACTGTTGCAGTATACGTTTTGTCTTTAACATTCCAGTGCTTTTCGTTATTGATATGTTAACTTGTCATCGATTCTTTGAAATTCGATAATATCTAGTTTTGGAATAGGGTTTTTTGCAATGTATATAAATTTACAGGAAAGATACATTTGAAAATAACTGAGCACATGAGGTCGAGTCATGAATTAAAATATGTTGCTTATTACAAATATTTCATTGCCTTTGCAATTCATTCGAGAATCATGTGATTACTAGGTTTTAATAAGAGCTTGAATGATGATCACGTAATTACTACAATGAAGGCTTATGATTGGACTAGCTAAAGGACCAACGAAAACGTTCTACATCACTTAATTCTGTAAACTGTTGTAGAAAACCAGAATTTGTCATTGTTTGATTAATTGTTGCGAGATGTATATAATACCCTTGCATTGTCATAATGCTATTAAAGATAATTACCATGTCACAAATATTCACAAGGAGTTGATTAATTCTGGCATAATTCAAATTAAAATCCTCTATTTTAAACAAACTTTCTGCTTGATTTTTTAAAAGGTCTTGAAGTATAACCTTTTGGCTACTGGTAACGCAACAGAGATAACTCTATATAACACAACAGAGATAACTCTATATGACACAACAGAGATAAATGTATATAACACAACAGAGATAACTTTATATAACACAACAGAGAGAACTCTATATAACACAACAGAGATAACTCTATATAACACAACAGAGATAACTCTATATAAAGCATCTTCTGTTTGAAACACTGATAACGTTCGCATTACAATAAAACATATATTTGAAGATACCTGCAAACAAGATGCTGGTTTCTTTGGAATTAATAGCACCAATATATGATAGGTGTAGGTGATGTGTAGAAAAAAACCCCAGAGAAAAACAGGCAGTGTTTAATTTCAGTCAGATAAATAATATAAGTTAAATAAGTTTACATTCATGCAAAATAAATACAATCAACTTAATTTCAATTACATCACATTTCTCGCCTATGAGAACAGAATTTAATCATCAAAACAAGGAAAAATTCAAGGCTGAATCAATTGACAATCTTAAACGAAAAGAAGGATAACTGTTAGTATCGTTTCAGACTAGGTGTTTTTCATACCAGCCAGTATATCTGCTGCCACGTTAACTACACACAGTCATACCAAGAGGAGTAACTCTTAAGGTAATAGGATTGTGTCACCATTTCTCAGTAGAATTTCTTCCAATTTTGTAGTTAAATTGCGTTGAAGTAAAGAAAATTTTCTGCCACCAAAAAAATATAGGTTGTCAGAATTTAAAGGATTTGAAATGAAAATTTATGTAAAAAGGAGTGAGTTTTGAAAAAAAAATGAAAGACACAATTTTAGGCAAAATAATGTCAATAAAAATGATACTGACATAGATTAGAATTGCATTAATGTATATCAATTTAATAAATGCTGAAATTGTGTAAAATTAATTATCTATAAACGTTTAAAAATTGACATTTTATAATAAAACCATGTACATATAGTAATTGCATGTAAAGAGTTATCTTTCTTGAAAAACTTCACAGTAGTGAAATAGGTAGCCGGGTTCCTGAAGTACAGAAAAATGGACACATGTGACTCATTGATAAAAANGTATTTCAAAATAAAACCTTTTTTGTAATGTGAGTAGTATAGGTTGGTACCGATATTATTTTTTTTATCACATTTCATGTTGAATGAACTGAACGAGTAGATACGCGTGTATGGTGTTATTTGATGTTTTGGAGTCGGAGTCATTCTGTTTTTGGGAGTCATTCTGGGTTTTTTACTTGAATTATTGTATTTTTCAACGAAAATGTAGTATTTGTGTTAGTTTTATTAATATTGTTTAAACAAATAATGTATTTTCTATTAATTTAACGATATTTTAACGTAAAAATAGACAATTTGCATCAAATTTTCATGCTGAATGAGTTGAACTATCTGATACGCGTGTATGCGATTATAAGGTATTTCCTTTACTTTTAAACGTATTTCATCACAATTCTAACAGTTTCTTGAATCATTACCTTTTTAAAGCTATAGAAGAGCTAGAACTAAATAGATAATTTCAGAAAAGGTTCTGGCAGAGAATAAAATAAACATTACAGCTTGGCCAGCAGTCTGAGTAGAAATGAAAAGGTAATACACACCTACAAAAACGCTCTCGCGCAGGAATTATAAAGTAGACGCCATCTCGCTATGACGTCGTCAAAACCAACCCGTCAGCTAAATATCGTACACTTACGTAAGCCGAAAAAATCTATGACGTCGTCAAAACCAACCCGTAAGCTAGACATCATCTAACGTAAGCCAAAAAACTCGATGACGCCGTCAAAACCATTCCGTCAGTCAAAATACATACTCTACAGTCATGCAAAAACTCGATGACGTCGTCAAAACCAACCTGTAAGCTTGATATCGTACACGAATGTAAGTCGAAAAACCAACATAAAGAGGAAATATGTAAGAAAAAAGCGAATAAGCATTACAACTATGTTGAAATTCAATTCTGTTTCATTTTAAAGCTATAGAATAGACATTGTATATAAATTATTCTCTCTCAACACGATCAGTCTACTGCTCCCGCAATCGAAACCCTCATGTTACTGCTCCCGCAGTCCAGACAACCCCCCTAGACAAGCCTCGTGACGTCAAAGGTTAGTCACGTCATACTGATGTCAACAGAGGTCATTCAGTTCAAACTCCCACTCAATCACCACCCCCAACGGCAAACACCCCTTCAATCATCACCTATACTACTAATGTAGACACCTAACTAATTAAAACAACAAACAAGTCTTTCCGAAAAAAATGATTGCAGAGAGCGAAAGTAAGCGTGACCCCTTGAGCATCGAGGATGGAAGCCTGTGTTTATGAAACTGTTCTAATACCCAAGCATGGATTCTGTGCTCTGATTAACACTCTTGCTTCCCGCTTAAACCATGTGACATTGTAGAATAGCCATGTGTTTACATTGGAAAGGTGTTTCAGGTATAAGTAACTCTAAATTTCTTCTAAATTATTTCCAAAATGTGAAATATCATTGTTGTATCAACAGAACAAGAGGGGTCTACTGGCTAAGATAAACAGAAACTGAGTTTGCTCAGGAAGATGGTTTATAAATATAGGCCCAGGGTAATGTTTTTCTCAAAACACCTTCATGTACTTTTGCTTTCCGTCACACATGATCACCTGAAGTAAACTTATCAAATAATTATCATAGATGCTATCACAGAAACTGAGTTTGCTCATGAAGATGGTTCATGAATATAGGCCTAGTGTAATGTATTTCTCAAAACACCTTCATGTACTTTTGCTTTCCGTCACACATGATCACATGAAGTAGTCTAATCAAATAATTATTATAGAAGCTATCTTTTCATCAACATCTCTCAGATGTACATTATTAATGATATCTGGCTTAGATGGGGTCTACAGGCTCATATACCCCGAGCCGAAGACGAGAAGTCTATAAAGGCCAAAGGGATATATGAGCCAGTAGACCCCTGCCTAACCCAGAAATAACGGATTTGTCACCCCTTCTTTTCTGCAAAATTATAAGTCACTTTGAGAGTTTGAGTTGTACTTGACTGCTACCAAAAAAGCCCCTACCGGACACCTTTTCGGCAATATTTCGGACAATACACAACCATCTCTTAAAATTTCATCCTGTGAATGATTGGCAAACCTGGAACACTTGTGTTTGTTGGACGCCATCTTTGTTTTTATGAATAGAGATTCTAGTTTGAGTTTTCTCCCCTCGCACGTGCTTTTATAGACCCCGGCAGTGCGGGGTCTATAGAAATATATACCCCGGCAGGATATCCAATTAGAAAGAGTGTAACAAATTAGAAGGATGACAAGAAAATATAATGAAGCAGGTTTAATAAAATATTAGTGGAATTACATCATTAACCCTGTCTTACCCTAGGCTCTTGTTTTTCTGTCCTCACTGTTGTCCACGTGACACCAGGCAAGCTGTTTAAGACGTGTTATGTCTCAACCTACCGACTCCACCTGGTCTCTTTTCGTCCCTGTATCATAATGATATCTAATATTGTTTCTCTTTGGAATTTAACATGAAACGTATAGAGATATTTAAATGATTTCCCGAGCGGCAGAATATTATACTGTTTTCACGAGTGCAAAATATCGATATATTCTGCCATATGAATGAAATAAGTTTCGTATTCTTCGAAAAAAACAACATTTATTGATTTTACTACAAAGGGCCTGTTTCCAGTAATGTTAATTCTCCATAGGAGCCTGCCCCCGTATAATTTCTTATCTAGCTCAACTACTGTTTTTTTCTTTTCCGAAGAATAATTTTACACCTTTCCGACACCCAGATTTCATAATTTCAGTGAAAATGTATTTTTATAAAGTTGTCAATTTCAGCATCAAAGACATAAGTTCGTAAATAAAAGAAGGTTATCTCGAAATTGTAATTCGCAACATAGTATAAATTTCTTTTGATAAATATTTCCAAAACATCGTGTTTATTCATAAAACATAAAAAAAAATATTCTCGGATGAAAATGCACTTGCAGAGACACAATTATGAAGAAAAATGCCATAAAATTGCAATTTTCTCCCGTTATATAGTTTTGGATGCAAATTTCCATCAGAAAATCGGATAGAGCTTTACTTGTTTCATATGTGTACCAAAAATCAGCTAATTCCATGTGGTGGAACGTTCTCATATCGCCGCCTGAATGTGGTTGTAAATTGAAAGAAAAGGGGAAATGAGTAACAACCTTGTCTGAAACCCTATTATATAGCTTATTATATACAAACTTTTATATTGAATATCAGAGCGGATATTTTCATGACAGTTTTATGATGTGTAACGACTAAATAAACAGTATCGATATAAAGATTTACACTGAGGACACCCTGATACATGAATACTGTTCTATCTCAAGTTGTCCTCTTCTGAATTTTCTGATCGTGTGGCCTTGTACATTTATCCGTATCTTCTTGTCTTTGTCTATACGTTTACGGAATCATTGACTCGACGCTAGCTATTCTTGTCTCACTTTCCTTGTTTTATTGTCCCATCTCCAAAGCGTTGTGGCTCTGTCAGGGTTGGGACCCTGACTTGTCTCACTTTCTTTGTGCCTGCCGACCACGCCACATCGAATAGATAGATTATCCATATGAAATACTTTATTTTGTTCTAAGTAATCAATCAATTCTGCGCTTCTTGGAGGTATTGAATGTGATTTATTATATTGTCTTGTTATTTTGTGTAATTAGTTGTTCGTTATTTATCACACATTTTCGCATAATTGTACCAAACTACTAAGTATTAGCTGTTTACAGCAATCATCGGTGGCTTGCTATTTTGTTACTTTATCGACGCTTCATAAACCAATCGTTATTGTTTCAAGATGGAGGGTAAATGTGTTGGAGAAGGGTGTCAAGTATACTTCAAGAAACGTAGTGGCAATAAGAACAGAAGTGCACGCAATGTAAATAGTCCACAATATAAATGGCTCCTAGATACGCTGGTGCAACAAGGATTGATGTCAGCAAAGGAACAAGCACTTATTTGCCAGAAGTGCTACATGAAGTATCTTCGGAACAAAAATCAGCCTGAACCTGAACCCGAGCAGAACCAGGAAATAGAGGAAGAAGACGACTCCCCGTCCCATATCCTGCCGTTGCTGACCCTTCATGATCTTTTGAATGGATCATCTTCACACAAAAAATGCTGTCTCTGTCTTGTTACCTTTGCAAGAAATGGAACAAAATCATCAGTCTTACCAAAACGTGCAAGACATCACCTGATCTATTCACACAAACTGTGGTGTCCCACCTCATCCCGCGTCTGCTCCATTCACCTTATTGGTAACGACTTAGATCCGTCTACAGAGGTTGTCCTTGATGGTAGAGGTTCCTTGGAATCTCAGTTACCATCAAAATCGTCCGAAATCATTAATGACCTCCTAGAGGTGTCGCACGTCCTTTCACAGAACCAGTCTGCGTTTACAATAAGCTTTTCTTCTCTTGATGACTCGGCATGCATGGCCTGGACAGGTTGGTCCAAAGATCAGTTCCTCGAAATCCACTCGCACTGTTCCCCATATCTTTCATCTGGTATATATACCAAGACTACACACGATGCTCTATTACTGTTCTGGGTAAAACTGAAAACCGACATTTCCTGGAGTCAGTGTTCTTCTCTTTTTGGAATTTCCAAGTCAAGTGTGTCCAAAACTTTCCACTCCATAGTACAGGCATTAGACACATCGATAGTCCCACAATTTCTAGGTCCGGATCACTTGACAAGAGAACAGTTGCTCGGGCACAATACTGTCTTTTCAGAAGCATTTTTTGGAGATAAAGCCACTGCCATATTAGATGGCACCTATATTTATATCCAGAAAAGCTCCGACCACAAGCTCCAGAGAATGTCCTACTGTGGCCAGAAGAAGAGAAACTATCTCAAATTCATGAGCATCGCCTTACCAGATGGCTACATTCTGGACACAGTAGGACCATTCACTGGCAGCGAAAATGATGCTACAATTACAAAAAAAGTCATGGACAAGCTAGTTACTTGGCTACAACCAGACGACAACGTTGTCGTTGACCGAGGTTTTAGAGATGTCCTACCAGTTCTCGAAGCCTCTGGCCTCAATGCTAGCATGCCGTCATACCTGAAACCCGGTCAAAGTCAACATTCTGACGTCCAAGCAAATCTTGACAGAACTATCACCAAATCGAGGTGGATTGTGGAATCCTATCATGGTCGTCTGAAACACTGGACGTTCTTCCGAACGCAATTGGTGTCTAACAGCTTTATCAATGTCATCGAGGCTTTGCTTCGAACCGTCACAGCCTGTCTGAATGGTATTAGAGGACCGATCTACCAGAGATCTCCAGAGAGAGATGCCAAAGATAGGCTAATGGCTGAACGTATGAAGGACCGTTTGACAACACCGAATGGTTTAGCTCAGAGAGTCAAGACAGATCCGGATCTATCTAGACGGGCAAGGTCCGAGTTTGTCAAGATGGATGCATCTTCCGTACTGTTTCCCCGTCTCGATCTTGATTACTTGAGAACCATTACGTGTGGAACGTATCAGATATCTCTGGCTCCTGGTTACATCGCCGAACATTTAAGTGATGACGGAGACTATGAGGTGTGGCTTTACCAGCACTCCCCAGACCTTCTCCGATGTCAAATACATTCTCGACACAAAAGCCAAACGAAATATAACGTTTGGATACGGTTCACCGTTTCACCCGATGTTGAGGCCCCAATAAAGGACTACTACTGCCAGTGCCCAGTTGGAGAGAGAACGATGGGAATGTGTGCGCACATCTCCAGTATCTTGTACTACCTTGGGTATTACAGGACGCTGGAAAACCCTCGACCATTACAACCACAGGTAAAGAAATTCCGACAAAACTTGAAATAGTTTTCCATGCGGCAACGGAGTGCATATGTCGAAAGTATGTTTGGGGCTCGATATGAAAGATCCCCGTTACCATGTGACTAACCAAACTTATAAATATAGGTATTATACAATCGCCCGTAGCTATGAACACTCCCGTAAATGCGAAAACCAACCAAAATCATAAGGAACACGTTTTGTTTGTTGTTCTGTCTATTTGTCAGCCAATGTCTTCAACCACGGGGACTTGTGAAGTAGCCATCTTGGATTTTTTTTATGAAAAAGTGTTTCTCTCACTTTTTTTCATATCTGTGTACATATTCTCAACATACCGAGCAAATACTCTCGTTTTTTTGTTAATTATCTAAAGAAAGTCGAAAATCGGCAATTCAACCATAGGCTAATTCAACCCAACATTTGAAAATGTTCCACCACTTACATTTTGATGATTTTTCCTCTCATCAATAGCATATTACGTACTGTTTAATAGGATAAAAATTGGTTTGCATCCAACGCCCATAAAAGGGTGTATTCTCTAAAAAACACAGTTTTTGTGTCTAAAATGTTATCATCGAAAATGGCATTTTTGAGATTGTTTCTTCCATAAAACAGCCAAATGGCGCGATGGAAACATGATTTTTTGTCACAATCATGCCATGAATGTATTCTTTACGGTGACCATCATTTGATTAGATTTTCATTAATATTTTACATAACATGCACATTTTATCAACACTTAGACAGCTTCTGAAAGGTACAACTTTGAGGAGCCATAAAAAACAAACCAAGTGACCTAAATCTTTATACTTTATAGATTTGTGACCACAACGGCATGGGCAATGCACCACCAACAGGAAATTTGAATCAGAGAAGGGGCCGTTTTGGAAACCGGCATTTTAGTATAACGCAATCAATTATTACACGTCATTTGATAGGCGTCTTACCTTATAGGAATAAACTACTCTTAGGCACTTTCTTATTTCAGAGGAACTTCTACTTCTGCTTAATCGTTTTCTTATGTAGCAACAGTTCAAATAATTTTGTTTAATGTATGACGACAATGTAAAAAGTGAAATCAATATATCGTATAGCCGGATATTTCCGCGGGTGATATTTCCGCGGGGATGATATTTCGCAGGTTATTAATAACCTTATCGCAAAATTTGAACCGTAGAATAATATGACAAGCGTTAAAGTGAGCCGCGATAATAAACTTCATAACCATAATGTCTTCATGAAATCGCGAGTATGTGGCTGTAACGATTCACCAAACGTGAAACAAGATGTTTGGAAATAGATTCTACCACACATGTATGAGTTTTGTTGATGATTTGTTTTACAAAATATGCTGACTCGTTTTTTTGCTCAATATGCTGTAATAAAGCGTATTCATTTAATTATTTGACACTCTATATGTATGTCGAGTGTCCAGTCTCTGTGCTAAACACAGCAAAACCAGTTAATTTCTTTACATGTCTAGATCGCGATTTAATTACCGTGTAATTTTATTTTTCTAACTTTGGCTCAAAGTTCCGAAATTTCAGGTTCGCAATAATAAGCCTTTATACGGTATAAGAAAACTGATAAAAAATAGTATACTTTCTGTTTAGTTTTTATAATACCTGTATATACATATCTTCCCTAGCCAAGTGTTCGCTTCGTATATACTCTACTTACTCTGGGAGAATATATCCGTGTTTTCGGAGCCTTCAAATTATCGTGCTGTGCCAATCGCTGCTTGCATCTCATGAAATCACGTCTTAGATATAGCGCTGTTGACGAAGGTAAACAGAAATGGCGACGCCCTGTACGGAATCAAGTTGTCGTTTATATCAGAATGTTTTGCCCAAAATAAGTAGTGCGCACAATCTTTGGGGAAACTTTTGAAGTGTTAAATCAGTTGGTGAAAATGCTTTACTACGTACCACATGTAAATGATGACCTGGGAAAATATGTGTGCTGCCATTGTTGGAACAAACTCAACAAGCTTTCTAAAATGGAGCACGACATTACGACCAAACTTGAGGCATTAAAAACAGAACGGCATACATTGATTGGGAATTTAAGGGTAGCTCACATATCAGGTGAACTTCAGTGACCCAGTAATTAGCCGGAGCTAATTTTAGAAAGGAACTACAAACGTATGAAACACTTACTGATTGCCTAATTTAGTTCAGTGAGTCCTTTCCTTTAGGTAAATCGTGTGCACCTCGCTTATGTATTCTACAGTTTTTATGTGCCTGGTAACCTGTGTATAGATACCGGAATACTACAATGTTTTGTTTGGTTACATAAAGTCCTCTTAAAGAGAAATCAAAAGTTTAGAAACGTTCAAGTCTAGTAAATCTGAATATTGACAGTTTATGAACAGTTCTATTGAAAACGGGTTCCTGGTTGGCCAGTACATATAAAACGTGTACATAGAACAGCTCATGCAGTCACAAAATATCAGGTATTGATATGCCTGTGAACAATCAGTCGTGTACCTCAACTAACTCTAGTCCAAAATTTATTGACATGAACCACCACAATTCAAACAGTACCAAATGTGGGGTCATCAAAAATACCACGTCGACGACACCTCCCACACCTGGCCAGATGTCACATCTCCAGGTTTGGCCGGGGATTGTATTACCTCCCACACCTGGCCAGATGTCACATCTCCAGGTCTGGCCGGGGATTGTATTACCTCCCACACCTGGCCAGATGACACATCTCCAGGTCTGGCCGGGGATTGTATTACCTAAGACACCTGGCCAGATGACACATCTCCAGGTTTGGCCGGGGATTGTATCACCTCCCACACCTGGCCAGATGACACATCTCCAGGTTTGGCCGGGGATTGTATTACCTAAGACACCTAGCCAGATGACACATCTCCAGGTTTGGCCGTGGATTGTATTCCCTAAGACACCTGGCCAGATGACACATCTCCAGGTTTGGTCGGGGATTGTATTACCTAAGACACCTGGCCAGATGACACATCTCCAGGCTTTGCCGGGGATTGTATTACCTAAGACACCTGGCCATATGACACATCTCCAGGTTTGGCCGGGGATTGAATTACCTAAGACACCTGGCCAGATGACACATCTCCTGGTTTGGCCGGGGATTGTATTACCTAATTCATCTGGCCAGATGACACATCTCCAGGGTTGGCCGGGGATTGTATTATCTAAGAAGGAGATGTGTCATCTGGCCAGATGACACATCTCCAGGGTTGGCCGGGGATTGTATTATCTAAGAAGGAGATGTGTCATCTGGCCAGATGACACATCTCCAGGTTTGGCCGTGGATTGTATTCCCTAAGACACCTGGCCAGATGACACATCTCCTGGTTTGGCCGGGGATTGTATTACCTAATTCATCTGGCCAGATGACACATCTCCAGGGTTGGCCGGGGATTGTATTATCTAAGAAGGAGATGTGTCATCTGGCCAGATGACACATCTCCAGGTTTGTCCGGGGATTGTATCACCTCCCACACCTGGCCAGATGACACATCTCCAGGGTTGGCCGGGGATTGTATTATCTAAGAAGGAGATGTGTCATCTGGCCAGATGACACATCTCCTTCTTAGATAATACAATCCCCGGCCAACCCTGGAGATGTGTCATCTGGCCAGATGACACATCTCCAGGTTTGGCCGGGGATTGTATTACCTAAGACACCTAGTCAGATGTCACATCTCCAGGTTTGGCCGGGGATTGTATTATCTAAGAAGACACACTCACTAGTAAATATTGCTTACAAATATGAAAGAAGAAGAACTGTTATCGAAATTTAGAGTTGTCGAACTTGAAAAAAACAGGTTATTAAATCCTTTGAAGACACTAAACTCTTTCACTAAAGGGCAACAATGTTCCTATAATTTCCTAAAATCCAAGTGTCGATTTAGGCGTGACAATAAGCTGTGTTTGGTTGTTACTGGTGATAAGGACCCGGATTTACGAGTGGTACATTTTGTGAACACGCCAACGGAAACTGTGTTGAGAAGGTTACAAAGGTCATTCAGGAGAAGTACGATATGCGAGACGAAATATATAGATTCTTCAACCTACCGCCGCAAGATTTCAAACTTGTAGACCATATGAAAACAATTCGTTAACTGGTGCCTAAAAGGTGAACTATGCCCCGAAGAAGTTTTTGACGCAAGGAAAAGACTGTGGCAACTGAAAAACCCCGGCTCTTGAGGCTGAAAACTGTCTTTGTTGTACGTGACAAGCTTAACATGTATATAAATGGGTCAACTACATTGTACAAACATCCACATCAGAATCCCTAAACAGTAATTTGAACTCAGGGGATGGTAACAAAGGTATTGTGCCAGGAGACGAGTAATGTTTGTCTCTACCTATTTATAATTGAGATCTGACCAGTGGTCAGCGAAAACCACTGTAGAATAGTTACCAGAATAAAATGCTTTGAATTTTACTTTCTGCAAATAAAACGAATTGATGGAATTCAATTATGATTCATGAAAATTATACTTACGATTATATTAATGATAATGTGCTTTTGTTTAAGGAAGTAATACCCAAAACTATGCAGCAATTTATAAAACATTTATATATCACGAGAATTATTTAGATTCTGGTGCAAAATACAGATAACACATGGTTTGAGTTGATATTCCTTTATTTATCATAGAAGAATGTTTTAACAAGAAGAAAATCATGATGAATTTCACTCCATTGATGGAACAAAAAAGGAAGTATCAATTAAATAAATAAATATACAACATTTGATCTAGCGCCCTATCTAGCTAAAATAAGCTACTCTAAAGCGTTTTACAGTACAAAGATATACAATTGTGAGGAATTCGCAGGAGCCGCCTTATCAGGCGCTAACTTCTAGTCATATGCCACCTAGCTAATATCTCCCTATGTGTGTATGCCTGCGTGTGTGCTGGAGATGAATTGTGTTCTGTTTGAAGTGGGACCGTGCTTCCAACGGCATCATTAATAGTGCCATCTCACTTGAAAACTACAGCACATATACCGCAACATCCACCCTAAACGAATTTGTACTCCACCTGGGTTTTTGGAGTTGTGTGGGCAGAAGAAAAACACTATCTCTGAATATCAATGCGTAAGACGACTTCGGGGATCAACCCCCGGCCGCCTGCGTGAAAGGCCGGATAGTTAACCACTCGACCAATCCGCCCATACAAGTGCCATTGACCAATAAAACACGGGTGTGTACGTTCTTTTGCCCATTAAATCACGCAAGTGAAACATTCTTCCAAACGCTATGCCCGTAATGCTCGTAAGTGACAGGTCTTGGACAGGTAGGGCGTAAGAATTGTACCTGCTGCCCCCATTTCATGATCGTAAGAGGCGACTTAATCTGGGATCTAATCTTTTCTCTTTTTTCTGAACAACTTTCTTCTTACTAATGTCTCCCTTGACAATGCCTCACTTTTGGCCTTTATTTGAGCGTTTGCCCTTGTGAGGAAGGTTTCGGGCTCTGTTCCCTGGCCGAGACATACCAGAGTCAGTAAAAATGGTAGTTTCTACTCCTGCATAACGCTCAGCAATTTAGGAGTGGGACGACTGTTTGCCCGTTGTCAGTATAATGTGACCGGGTGGGTGTCCTGCTGGGTGTCTTCGGCAGTATGTTTCGGTGAGGTAGCACTATAAAGTGGGCATCAGTTCCGCGCTATCACAAGGAGACAAACCCGAAGATATCGCAGCCTCCCAAAACACACACGCATACACTACACGCATGCAACTTGCACACAGGGGAGACCGTCCATAAATGACCATATATGTTAATAGGACGAAACCGAACCAAACCAAGCGACTCAATAATATAAATCTTTAAAATCAATGATAATATAATTGCAAAATTTCAAATCAAATCACAAAAAAGTATATTAAGTCAAATGTCAAAATATTTGATAAACTTAATCTTACTGTATATTACTTAATTTCAATTTCTACCGGATATTATTTGAATAAAATGTATTGTAATATGGAAAGAACTTAATATAAAATCAGGCCTGATGATCATGATTATCAATATTTGTTGAAATTGAAATTCAAGTGACTCCAGGTGAACGTTTGATGCAGTTACCACAAAGGCATAAGCTTCGACAACGTATTGTTGGTGAAATGAAAATGAGGCATCACAAGATAGTTGTTTGTGCCAACGAAAATCCTAATGTACATCCTTAGATTATCTAGGTCATGTTTCATTCTAAGCGCTGAAGTAGAGCAGATATACCTTTGTAACAAACATGATTTTGTTAATAATGTTGGTATTTATAACTCTGGATTGAAACTGTCAGGATATTATTAATAATATTTCCAATATATTCTAATCCTTGTTATATATTCCACGAAACACAGGCACATGTTTTGAGAATCTCCTACAGTGTAATTAGCAGTACTCAGATACAAAACATGTACACTTTTACATAGAACAGTTTACAACAGTGATGTTTAAAATAGATTTGGAACAATACAATTTTTTTTTACAAAAATGATTGGTCAACCAAACAACTTCCATGTTGCAATCATTGGCGGTAAATATTAACATGAGATCCGGTCATACAAAAATACACGTGCTATAGTCACTGACTGTTTTTGTTGCCTGACATCAACACATTCTGCGCCTATTAGTTCAATATCTGTCCAGTACACTGACTGTAGTTAAAATCTCTGTCCGGTACTCTAAGAACATGGCTCCACTGCGCAGTACCCATACCCTATGTTGGGATCTGTTGTATAGCACCAAGGTCTCGAATTTCCGGCCATTTGGCACCAGTTCTCAAGGTCGCTGCGCCCTGCTAGTATAGTGGGATGGTGTGGGGAATTACTGTCCCATCGCTGACACGGAACTCCTCCATCTGTACAAGATACTCGACCGTTGTATGTCTGACTGGTGACGTTATAACAGTCCTTTACTGAAGATACAAATACAGATCAGCGTTATCGTCATAGCAACTTTTCATAAACCTTTCATCACCTGTTCAACACCAACTTTTGTGCTTTAAAACACTTGGAGAAAGACAATAACGACATACCTTTATGGTAAGCGAGAATGTTAATAAATTAAGAAGGGAATTATATCGAGGATAAGCTGTGTTGGCGAGTTGCTAGATTTGATATTTGAGAAATATACCAGAGTTAATCATCTCATTGGTAAAGTATATTTAATTCTGCAAACTATTCTTGTATTTGTGATCATGAAGATGATATTATATTATTGATTATATTTTAATAAGAAAAAGTGTGTATAATGAACATACAAAGCCAACAAAAGACGACTCTTCTAATACGAAATGCATTTTACAAAAATCAAACAGGCAACTAACCAATAAATTACATGAACCTTAAAGAAGATCATTACACCCATATTACCGTTGTTTATAATGTCTTTAAACTACTACATTAGGATGGTTAATATTAAGTTAGAATTGAGTTTGTTGCAAAAGTTTTACAAAGAGTTCGGACATAAGTTGTCTAATAAATACAGTCAAAGGATAGGCGTGGCACTTGTTAAAAATTCAGTAGTAATAGAAATTGACGTTTGAATGCACAATGGCAGCGTACAGCTAAGATTCCAAAAGTGACAAGATTGTCTACAGAATGGCGTCCTTCCATTAATTTTGTTGATATGTCATCACCAGAAGTCACTTAAAAGGTTTCGCTGTGACTAAAGGCGTGTTAAACCCTTCGTGGTGGTACGCTTATTCTAACGATACATGAATATTAAGGCGAAAAATATAAAAGAGTACACAAGACAGAGATATAGATCTTCTTGGGCGCCTGCAGGCGGACTAAAACTACACCAAAGGACTGAACCATTTGTGTATCTAGTTCTCTAAAATATCTCTACATAAAAAATCAACACAGCCAATATAGATGCGACATATGTCGGTTGAAAATATTTAATCCCGTACACACCATCAAGGTTTTAGAAGTTTGTTGATTGATTAAACTGACATCGTCATGTTTATTTATTTTCAACATACGCAACTATTCATTTCGTTCAATGATATTTTTTTAAACGATTTAACCCAAATCTTCAAGCAAATATAGATACATATATATTCAGATGTCATTAGCGGAATAGGCAGATTTGTGGCATTGGCTGATGAGTAGTATAGGCGAAACTATATATAAATGAATATATCTGATTGCTTTTGTGGAAACCATGTCAAATGCAGAATGACAAATTTGGATAAATTGAAGGAATTA